ATTGGTGGAATTTTGTAATTTACCAATAAAATTTTCGAAATTTCCTTATTCGAAAATGTGGACAGTTTAAGGGATAATTATTATTATTATTATTATTATTATGTTGTACAATTTTATTATCGTTGATAAATAAAAAAAAAGTTATTTTTAAAACCATCACGTGATGATCATTAATTACCTTGGTTACTGGATATCTCGTTATAACGGACCATTGAGGCCAAACCAATGTGTCTGTTATAACGAGGTTCGACTATATATCTAAACTGCAATTTACAGATTACTTTCACAATTTTACCAATTATTCACGTGACAAAGTCGCAGATCTTTTACAAATTTGGATTTATTGGATTCTTTATAAAGCAAGATCAGCATAAAAATTTTCTGCAAGTGACGCACCACGTGATGTCTTTAGATGATTCGCACCATAGAAAGTTTTTTTTTTGAGTTATTTAGTAAAAAAAAAAGTTAAAATGGTTTAAAGTTGGGTAACTTTACTATGTTATTTGAAATTTCAACAACTATATATGGTTGGCTTGGTCTAAAGACTCCTAATTCTGCGCCATGTGGCCAATTTTTCAAAAATTATTTCTTAAAAATGAGTGATCTGCATTGATTTTAAATAAGGATTGGTGGGGATAATTACACTAATAAAACACATATCTCTCGATAATCTCCAACCAATTTTTAAAAAATTAAACAAACCCTTATTAAAAGTAAAATGATTTTTTTTAGTCAAAATAATATGTTGAAATTACCAGAACCTTCTGAACGTGAACACAGAAGGATTATTGGTATGTGGGAAGCTAGCTTGAGTGAAAGAGGGATTAAAAAAAATTGAACATAAAAAAAAAACAACAATTCATGATACAATAGCAAGATATAGAGATGGAGGACAAATAAAATCAGCACCAAGACCAGGTAGACCAATAATAGCATAAGTTTGTGATAAAAGAGGTCTTATGAAAATTGTTAAAAAAGATAGAACACAAACTCTCTTTGATCCTATTAACCAGTTTAATGAAATAAATAATTCATCTGTAAGTTCTTTAACTGTACGTAGATATCTTCATGAATTAGGTTATTATGGTTGTGCCAGATTGAGAAAACTCTTATAATTGAAAAAAAACAGAAAGATTGTTTAACATGGTATTGTTTAAGAAGAAATTGGATTAATGAATGGGATTTAATAATATGGAGTGATGAACCACGTTTTGAAATATTTCTCATTATATGTGGCATAGACCTTAAGAAAAATATGACATTGACTGTTTAATTCCAATGGTAAAACATGGTGGTAAGGCTCTTGGTAGATTGAAATGTTTATAATCAAAAGGCATCAATCATTCTGGAAGAGTGAGAATTCTTTGGAGAGGTGCAATATCTTTTTTCACACCAATATAATGACCACTGGTCCATGTTAGCACAGCCTTCTGGAGATGGTCCATTAAAGTTTAGGGATCTTGGTGCATTGAAATAATTAATGCTAGCACAATTTGTAAAAGTGTTGGGATTTCTCAAGATGCTAAACAATGAATTTTATATCATTTATCAAGAAAACCAGATTAATTTTCTTATATAGTTTGGAGATTTGGCATTCTCAGATAAATATCTAAAATTGTAATTTTTTTATCAATTTGTTTGCTTATCAATTATATTAATTCACATTCAATACTAACCAAAAATAGCTGTTAACAGCTAATAAATACGTCCAACCTATGGAGGGACATTCGATGGTTATCAGACCATTTGAAAATTTATTTTATTATCCAAACCCAATTATTCAGTTATTTTCCCGAACTTTATCCATTTTGATAAATAAATTTATTCAGTAAATGCTCAATCATTTATTTATCCACTTTATTAATTAAATTTATTCAGTTAATGCTCAATCATTTATCCGAACTTTATACAGAATGAATAAAATGAGTAAAACAAACAAGACGAATAATTTGAATAATTTGAATAAAAACAAGTAAAATGAATAATTCGAATAATTAAGAAATTGTATTAGAAACTATATTAATAACGATAACAGCTGCACACAATTCATTGTTTTAAATTTAAATAATTATGAATGACGATAATTACATTATTAAGAATGACGTCTTTTCAATTGTCTCTACAACAGGCACAGTGGAATATATTTGAATTAGATTTTAACCGAGTCAAACCGAGCCATTTATAGGTTCGAATCAGAATCAAAGCACATTCATATTCGATTTGTATTCGATTTGTATTCGATTCGAATGAAATGAATCAAAAATTAGGTGATTCGAATTAGAATCGATTTGACTCGAATTTCATTAATTCTTTCAGGGCCTTACCTGCATCAAGGCAACAATTCATATAGTGCACAAATCCAGGGATTGACATTACCCTATGCAGCTGTCAGCATCGATAGAAATATTTTTGCTTGCGCCTGGTCAAGTATATGTAGCAATGAGCAAAGTGTCTCGAGATCTTGGATTTCGACTTTTCTTGTGTGATCATTCTGTGATTCAAGAGCACGCAAGATTGAAAAGCGTAACCTAGAGAGGTCAATTGATTAATATATATATATATATATATGAGAATATCGGATTTAATTTTTTTTACTATTAATAAAGTTTTACTTTGAGTTATTCCTGATTTTGTTTATTGCAAAAAAAACTACATGAAGCAATTCTAAAATTTTTTTTATAGTTCTAAAAATCTAATGCTAATAATAAAGAACGCAGAAGATTTAGGGGTGTGCTCAATTCAATTATATCCACGGAAAGAAATTTGAATGAAAAGAATAATTATCTAATATTAATACTAATATGAATTGACTTTTTACATTTATGACTACTAATTTAAAATGTTTGATATGAATTGATTAGAATTGAATGAAAAATGATTATCAGATTATATTAAATGAAAAAAAAATATTATACGGAAAAAAAATTTATTTTAAAAATAGTTTAGAGATATAAACAAATAGTAAAGGAGGTTTTACACGTTTGACGTTGTTAGCTTTGTTGGCTTTTTTGGAGGAAGAGATTTAACGGTAAAATTCATAGTTGTGCACCCTATTGGATCGTCATTAGGATCAGTAACTAATAATAATTGTTAATTATATTAGTAAATGAACAAACAAGTTAACTAATGAGCTAATATATAGATAAATGATAAAATGATAACATACCAAGAATAAGTTGTTGAAAATCAGTTTCACTTATACTAACAGTTTGGCGGGAAATGAAGGTAGTTTGTGTATAATTGAAATTGAAAGGGTAATTGGGATTTTGATTGAAAGGTGCAGTTGAAGTTGCAATTGTAACATTATAATCTTCATAATTGTCATTGTCAAGTGAACATATTACGGTGAACATTGAACAAAAATCTGCAATGCTATTATCAATATCAGCACCATTATAGTAAGTAATGATTCTCATTTTACTACCATCTTTTATGAAGTTGTTATTATTATTATTAAAGCCCTCGATGTTTAGAATGGAACTTTGCCCTATAACAACTTGGTTGGGGATATTGTTTGAGGTAACTGTGTATGTGGTGAAGTTAACCGTCAAATTATAATTATTATAATCATCACATGATTGTGAGTAAATGACAATTGGAAAAACGAATAAGAAAAAGAAAATGTTGAATAATTTGTTCATTTTTTTCAATTTTTATTTTTTTTATTTTTATTTTTTTGAAAATTGTTTTTACCACTTTCAAAAGAGTAGATGGGAATTGGTTCCTCTTTTATATACCCCTTATATAATCAAAATGAATAGAATGTGCACTGGCTATTATTAGAAATTACCAAAAATTACCACGTCCGTGTAACAACCTACTATTACTATCAGTATTGTGTGTGGTGCTAAATCCCGGCACCTCTAATGAAATATTGTACACCAATTTCATTGGTCTTGTAAAAACGAAAGTATAAAAAAAACTAAATAATGGAATTTAATGTATCATCTTTATCACGGAGTTCAAGTACAACAAGTTTTTACCCAAAATTGACAATAATAACTATTTTTTTTTTAATATTGTGGCGTAAATTTACATGCAGATTATCTTGTATTACCTTGGAAGAAATAAACTTTACTTGATAATTGAGAAAGGGTTGGATATTGGATATTATAATTTGGTTTTAAATCTTATATTATTTTTATAAAAACATGTATTTTTTTTTCCTTAACGTTAAATTTTAAAGGTCGAGATTATCCAAAAACACTGGACAAATTACCTGAAAATAAATCGTATGATTATGCGAACTATTTCTATAATATAAAATACACGCTTGAATATTTGATGATTCCTATTACAAATCAACCTTATCAATCGATGAAGGGACTTTGGAGATATATAGCATTTAAATTAAAAAACGCTCATAAAAATCTTTTTAATTCCTATCTGCATGAAATTGCTAATCCTTTTAACTTGGTGTTCAAAATTCTCCACTTCGAAAGTCAAAAAAAGAATTAACATTTATTCATTTTAATTTAGATTACTCGTTTGTTTTGAATTTCTTAATATTAATTTTCATTATAAAAAAATTATAAGCCGATAAGGAAAGACTGACAGAAAAAAGAAATGGATAAAGTTTGGGCGTTTTTTATTATAATTGAATTGATTCACAAAAAATTGCCAAGTTTGTTTGATACAATAATCAGCGGAAAAAACAATCATTTAAGTGCGTTTTTTTATGCTGCCCAACAAATCAATTTTGTAGATCCATGAGATTTACCACAATTCATCCAAATGCTCTTTATGCTGCCATTAATGGATAGAACAGAATGAATATATATTTGGTATTATTAAAAGCAACTATTCATTCAGTATAACGTTGTTTGCATTGCTATTTACAAAAGCGATTTTTGCAGATATTCTATATGCTGAATCTGTTTGTTACAATGAAAAAAAAAAAAAATGAGTAAATTAAATTCTAGACAAAGCCTATTACTCCACGCATCCAATTTAGAGTTTATTGTAGAAGCAAATGATAATACTTAAAAATAGAAAGGTGCTTATTCTGGATTTTACTATCTTTATTTGTCAACCAACCAACCAACCAACGAATGTTTATCGTCGATTTTTTTATATAAATTAGGCGTAAATCCTCTTTTATTAAATTTTGAATTATCTATTCATAGATTATTCAAGGATGTTTTTTGCAATGAACTTAAAAATTCTTCGGTTCAAGTTTTATCAAAAACTTTTTATTTTCCTTTTATTTTGTCTTTTATTTGTTTGTCTTATTTCCACATCAAACGCACAAGATGCTGAACCAGCAAAAAATCCAAGTCCGGCTGAACAGAAACAAAACAGCCTTGTTCCTAACAATATAATACAGTTTCCGATAAGCGATCCAACTCAATCAAAAAGTGGTTTTACGTGTCCTGTTGTTGGAAATTATAACGATCTTAAGATATACCCCAGCTTTTTCTCTCAACTAGGAACGTTCTTCCCTATTCTAGGTCTTCTTTTCACTGTGGCTGTTTATGGTACAACATCCGTGTTTGGATATATAACAACATGTCTACTTGATGATATTGTTATTTTGGGGACATCCTTAGTACTCATCATTTCGTGGTACAGCTTCACAAAACCATTTTGGTTGGTTTTATTAGCGAATTTATTGGAAGGTGCTGCGAGCAAGCGTGGCACTTTATCAACTTTTTTCATTGTAAAAAAAGCTGTTGTGATTGTTGGATCTGATTCTGGACCAGTTGGAATTAATTACACTGTTCCTATCGTGATACTTGGTTGTATTTTTATTGTAACTGGTATAAGTTCTCTGGTTATACTGGGGATTCTCAGAATTGATTTTCACAAAAAACGGGAAATTCTTAGCAATCCAGATAATAAAAACTACAGGCGTTTCTACAAGAGAATAAAAGGCATCATTATTTGGATTTACTTTATTCATTCACTTGAAATAGTAATTTATACTGCTTTGCAATTCGCATATGTCTTTAAAGTGCTATTAACCATACAAGGAAGTGGGAGCATTGGTTTTTCTGCAGTTCTAAGAGCATTTAATTTGCTAACCATAAATTATCTCATGAAGTTTGCTTATTTCATCTCAACCACCACTTTAATTACCTCATATTACTTTCCTAATTTAGAACTACGTTTCATAAAATTTGTGAAAGGGTTTTTCACAAAAGAACCTGTTAAACTTTCCGAGAATGAAAAGAGGTTTTACCAAGGTTTTATTCGTAAAAAAACTTTCTTTCTTACCACTACTCTTTCCTTGGGTCAAATATTTTTTGAATATTACTGGTTTTGTACTCCTCCAGTTATTAGTACAGTCTTCAACACTATTCTTACAACAGTTTTGACTCGTGCAGTCGCATCATTCTTTTCTAACCGGGGAATAGTTAAATATATTTATAAAAAAAAAAAATATATTAGTAAAGATGAAGCAAAAGAAACTATCGATGGAGATATTCAAGATATCAATGAAGAAGATGTCGAAGATAAAAAAAAGGTTTATGCACAAGTCAGCATTATGGATATTCATAATGTTAAAAGTTTTAATATAAATAAGGATAAGTATGATGGTAGCAGCATTATAAATCCCAAGAAATTGGAAAAATATTTAGTTGATTCCACGGGTAATTATATTTATGTTTATAAAAAAAACACTGAAGAAAAAAGTAATCCAGAAGAAGAAAATACAAAAGAAAAAGGCAGTCCAGAAGAAAATACAGAAAAAAAAAGTACTTCAACAAAAAATATTACAGAAAACGATGATGATGAGATTATTGAATTAGATAAAAGTGTATCTACAGGACCAAGTCCAATAGAAGAAAAAAATAATAAAGATACAATTACTAAGAAATTCAAGTCTAAGCAATATTACTACGTTATGCCTGTTCAAGATTCTATGTACTTTGTTGAACTTGAATTTGATAAAAATAAAATCGAGAAAAAAAAGCATGCATACCAGAACGAAAAGAACAAATACGTTGAGGCAAAGAAAAAATACAAGGATATATTAAAAAAAGAAAACGAGAAAGAAAATGAAGAAGAAATTAAAAAGCTCAAAGAAATAAAGGATAAATATGAAAAAATAAAGAGCAATTACAATCAAATTTTGGAGGAAGAAAAAAAGGAGAAAAACGTTAACAAATCCGAAAAAATCGAGAGTGAATACAAGAAAGTAAAGAATGAATACGATACATTAGAAGATAGTGCAAAGGAGGGGATGAAGATTGAATACGAGTACAAAAAGAATGAATACGAGTACGAGAGGGGAAAAATAGCATACAAGGAAAAGTGGAAAGAATATGAGGAAAAAAAGAAAGAATATGAGGAAATAAATGATGAATGCGAGAAAATAGGAGGAGGTGAAAAAATGAAAGAATACGAGAAAAAGTGGGAAGAATATCAGAAAAATAAGAAAGAATACGAGGAAATAAAGGTTGAATATGAGAAATTAGAAGGAGATAACAAGGAGGCGAAAAGGACTGAGTACGAGGAAAAAAAGAAAAAATACGAGGAAGAAATGGAGGAATACAAGAGGAAAAAAGAAGAATATGAAAGTAAAATGAAAGTATACAAGAAAATAAAGTATGAATACGAGAAATCAAAAGAAGGAGATAAAAATAAGACTGAATACGAGAAAAAAAAGAAAGAATACGAGGAAATAATAGAGGAATACAAGAAAATAAAGGAAGACGAAATGAAGAATGCAAAGGATGAGTACGAGAATGCAAAAAAAATTTACGAGAATGCAATGACAAATTACGAGAAGGCAATGAAAGATTACGAGAAGTCAATGAAAAGTTATTTGAACATAATTGAAAAGGATAAAGAAGTGGAGAAGAAGAAGAAATACTATGAAAAAAAGTATGAATACGAGTATAAAAAAATAAAGAAAGAATACAAGGAAAAGAAGAGAGAATATGAGGAGTCAAAGAGAGAAAAAGATAAAGTGCGTGCGAAGGCAATGAAAAAACTCGGGGATGGAAAGAAGAAAGGAGATGGAAAGGGGGAAAAACAGAGTGAACAAAATAAGAACGAACCTGAACTTACTATACAGCAAACAATTCAGAAGGAAATGAAAGAATACGATGATAAAAATAAGAAAAAAAATGATAAAATAAAGAGTGAATACGCGAAAATATTGGAAAAATACATAAACGCAAAGGACAAAAGATATGAACAACGAAAGGAGAATATAAAGGCTGAGACAAAGGAAAAATACCAGAAAGCGAAGGAAAAATACATAAATGATAAAAGGAATGAAATAATAAAAAAATACAAAGATGATAAGCCGGAGAAAATAATGGAAGAATCCGAGAAAGCAATTGTTGCAAAACACGAGATGGAAAAAATAGAATACGAGAGTAAATTGACTGAATACGAGAAACAAATGGAAGATTACGATTATTATTCTGCAGATCTTGATAATTTGTATGACGAGTACTATAAAATAAAGGGTGAACTCGAGGAAAAAATAGCTAAATTCGAGTACGAGACAAAAAAGAAAGAATATGAGGAAATGGAGAAAGAGAACGTGGAAGACGAGAAAAACTCTAACGATGCAGAAACTAATAAAGAATATGAGAATGCAAAGAAAAATTACGATAAAATATACAAAATAAAAAAGGGAGAATATGAGAAAGCAAAGAAAGAATACGAGTGGGTAATGTTGGAAATAATTTATAATTACAAAGAAGCAAAGAAAGAATATGAGAAAGCAAAGGAGATGGAAAAGAAGAATATAACAGAAGAAAAGAAGGAAAGAACCAGGAAAATCAAGGAAGCAATCAAGAAAGAAATTGAGAGGATCAGAAATGATATAGGTTGTGATGGAATTGCATTTCACGACTATGCCGGTGGAAGTTTCGAAAAACAAAATGAAATCTCCAGATTCAGACCAAATGACCTTGAAAAAGGACTTCCTCCTCCTCCTATTAAACTTATTAGAAATTGTAAGAAAATCGAAGGCCACGTCTTGATTAACATACTTGAAACAGGATTCCTAAATTATATTGTCTATTCTCACCGTTCTTCTAAACAGCCCGGATTACTAAAATGGATAAAATGGAAATACCATCTGTATATTAACCAGCCTGGTTGCAAACAATCCTGGAGAGAAGAGAAAATGAAATTGAGGGAAGAGGTCCTTAAAGCGGAACTGGAAAATCTAGATCCCGCACGGAAGGAACAAGAATTGGAGGAGCTGATAAATCAGGAATTCGAGAAACTGGAGAAGCAGAAACAACGACTGGAGGAGCTGAAAGAGGAACAGAAACAAATAGGCCCATTACCTCATTATTTAATTTAAATTAAAGGGTTGGTTTTGACAAAAAACTCCATATCACACAATTTCTAATTAACATTAATATAATTTTATTTTATTCTAATATAATAAACAATAGTAACTTTTTCATTGTCTTTTTGTTTTTTGTTTTTTAAAAGAATTCATATATATATTATTCTATATTATTAGCATAATTAAATCTTGATGGTTTGTCACGGTTATTAATCGAAGATTCTTAATTGAATTTAGAAAAAACCACCTAATAAACGTAATATATGATTTAATTTATATTCCTTAATTTCATGGTGATGAATATAAACATGCAGATTTGATAAAATTATATTTCATTTATTGACATTATCTCTTCGATCATGGAATATTTAAAATAGAATTTGCACCGCTGCTATATGTTTTGACATTTGATCTTACCTCCTATGCATTTTATATTTTATTATATACTTGTTTTCTTGCTATATATGATAAGTAACTGCGCTGTTGTTAATATTAATCTTTCTAATTCTATTTCATATTCTTAAAGGATCAATCATCTAAAGAGAAAGTTTTATTAGTAATGAGCGGGTTTGTTTCATTAAACATGCCTTTCTATTTACAATAATAAATTTAGACGGATGTTTCTCTGTATCATAACCATTAACTAATCCTTCTTTCCAAACATCACTGCATAAACACCAATTTTGCCCAATTGATCAAATCTTGGCCACTATTAATTATAGACTTATATTATTGCTTTATCACCAGGAAGAAGCAACGCGCTAAGTTCCACTTTACTGTGACAAGAATATCTTTGGGCTATATGAATATCTGTTCTAGTAAGAGGCTCCAGATTTTGGCTATTAAATAATGCTTTTTTCAGAGGTTCTGCATAAGTGAGATGGTGACTACAAAAATTAATGATCAATTTTCATGATTTTTGGAAACTTCTGTAAAAATCTCCCAACTCAGAGCATAAAGAATCTGACTTGGGTTTTAGATTTTTATTAAATGCTTCAACAAACTTGACTTTTGCCCTACAAAAAGTTTGGATATTTGTTTTCTTTAAGTAATACTAGCGATGCTAGCCTGTAGAAAAACTTGGTCGACTAAATCAAACAACTCTAAACTAAAGTTGGTGTCTGTAAATGTTTTGACCTGCAGATTTTAAAACTCGAGTTGCAATCTTTTCTGAACCTCTGCAACCCTGCAACTGCCTGCAACTATAATTATGATGACTTAGGATCAAAATGGAATCACATAACTTCAAAATGGGATTTATTGTTTTAAATAAAATCATATTAAAAAATTTTTTTTTGATAAAAATAAATTTAGTTTTATAGTGATTGAAGTAGCTGACCAACCAGAGGTTGCAGGCAATTACAGACAGTTGCAGCAGTTGCAGCATTAGATGTCAATATTTTTTGGGTTGCAACCTCCTGAGTTGAAAATTCCTAGTTGCAGAGCCATCTTTACTCTAAACCTACTAGGAAAGAACTTGATAAAATAATTTACAGTTGATAAAAAACTTCTTAGATGGTATTACCACTATCATTACTATTATTTACTATTGTTATTATTTAATCTCCTAATTCATTGTTATTTAATGGTTCACTAACAGTTACTATCCAAATAAGGTTATTTGATTTATTCGTTATAAATTTGAATAATAATAAGAATTCTAATCACCAATAGAAAGCTTTTATTATCTTTTATTTTTTTTAAAGAGCAAATGCATGTTTTTTCTTTTGTGTGATCTAAGTAATGCATATCAACCAAGTGCCTATGCCACAAAGTTCTGCATTAAAATTCCAGACGTAAAAATGAATGTTAAAAGAAATTTTTTTTTTAGTCATATCACTACTTAATTTGCACTTTAAAAAATTTTAATCCGTTACATTCTTGAAACACACATTTCATAGCACACATATTAAAATACGACTTTCAATAACAAAATAAATGATCATAATGGGAATACGGAATATACAAAAATAATTATAGAAAAATGCGAATTCGATTCTATTTTCTCTTATAAATCAAAAAGATTCGGCTGAAATTCCACCAATCTCCTCACTTTCTACCAGAAGATCTCAAAAATTGGCAATTTTATTTTCCTGTGGATATTCCAAATACAATAAATATGTCATTCACACCATTTAATTCCATTACAAAATGATCAATTGTTCACTATTTCATAATAGATGGGCCGAATCCTGCAGTTTTACCCGTCACATACCCAGATTACGATAGGGTTTGAATAAAATATGTTGTGACCATGTAAATGTGGTGGTAATCGTATCTAATAATATTTGGTTAAACAGTCAAATTAACGACACTTTATGTTTGAACGATATCTATATTTTTAGCATTTCTAATTATTTTTTATAAGCATTCCTATTATTTTTTTTTTAATAAATTGTATATCATATGTTATATTCCTTTCTTTTTTTTTTTTGTGATTTAATTATTCACACTGTAAATTCCTTAAAAAAATGCATGTATTACACAATCAATGCATCATGCACGAACTTCAACACTTTTTTATTTGGAACACAAAAAGAATACACTTTTTCATTTAACGATACAATTTTGGATAAATAAAAATTTTTTTTTTTGGAATTATTGCACACAAACATTTGTGGGAAAAGTAAAATTATTCTTGGCAAACACTTCTTGTTATCGATGTTCTTTATCTTTTTGCATTGTTATACAAAGATAATCTTTGCGAATAAATGCCAAATTTGTTTGATACAAAATCCGTGGAAAAAAGTAAAAATCAACTTTATCTCTTGTTCTACACAATCGATTTAGTGTTCTACGATGCTCTTTATACTGATATTGATGGAAACAGAATGACAACGTTAATATTGGAATATTATTTAAATGTTTTCTCCATTTAGCATAACTTTGCGCAGTTTTACAACAACACGATATTCTATATTTAAGTTCCTTACAAACGTCTGTTAAAAGATTGCATTGGATATTATTAAAAATACTTCTTCATTTAGCAACCAATGAATTTTTACCGTTTATTTGTTTATAAAATAAGTCTAAACCATTTTTTATGAATCCTTCTCAATAGATCGCTCCAAATATATCTTATCCACAACAAATCACAAGATCAAATCCAGATGATCAAAGTCCAGCTCAAGAACAAAAAAATAGTCATATTCTTAATAAGATAATCTAGTTCCTAATAGTCAATCATCAGTTACCTTTTTACGCCTTTTTTTTAACGTAGCTGTTATATGTGTTTGGATACATTACCGCATGTTTATTTTATGATGTTGTTATCTTTCGTATTCGTCATTTTGTGGTATACTTTTATCAAATAAATTTGGATTTGCGTGTATTTTCGCAAGAGACATCCCAAGATTTCATGATTTCGTTGATGTTGTTTGGTTCCTTACATTCTGAATGGATATTGGTGACTTCATTGCAGACGGCTTTGTATAAAAGTAAATCTGTAACAACTTTTCTTATCATAAAGAACACTCTTGTCATTAGGTCCTATGTTACCGATGATGATTACACTAAGGCTACTTAAGCACTTATGTCAATCTGCTGTGATTGTTCTGGTTATCAGATATTAGTATTTGTTTACAAAAAATGGGAATTAGCAAAAAACACAAAAATTACTTCAAGGAATTAAAAGACATTATTATTTGGGTTTACAACACTTGCAAAAAACAAACCATCTCTTGGATTTCAATTGTAATCTATAATTTAACCTTTTCTCTTGTGGATAATAATATCAATAAAATTTCCGAAAAGATTATGCTTCATTTATGATATTACCGATTTAATCGTATACTTGTTTTCTTGCTATATGATAGGTTACTTACTTGTCTATTAAAATTAGTGGAGAGACAATGAATTGGATTTTGAATAGACAAAATTCTTCGTTGACCAGCATCATCTTTTTACATTGCATTTTTAAAAACATTTACAAAAAATATTTACATCAGAACAATGTTGCATGACGAAACTTTCGACTTTAGTCATTGACGTGACGAAAGTGCTGACTAAAGTAGTTTCTCACCAAGAG